TTTGCTAGCTTCCAGTAGACTTGAAGCTCTACTGTTGATCTGGTTTACATTTTACAAAGAATTTGGACTCATGTAGCCCAATTTTGCACAGCTGACCGGGGACTTGAATTGTCTGTGCACCTCATGAATAAATCATTCCTGTCCAGCTGGGTGGACGCTGGGCAAAATGTTTCACCCCTCCTGTTCTGGTGGGAGTGTGGCTATTTATCCTAATGAGTTCCTATGCCATCTGACTTCTGACTTTCTGATTACTTCAACTTTACTGCTGTTGTTGCTTCGGTTTAAGAACCATTTCATTAACTCAGTGAAGAAGGTTCCAAGGAAGATTTAGGATATATTAATGTATATTTCTTGGGTTTGCTGTATTTTAGCCTGCACTGGTGTTTGCTGTGATTAGAATCGTAGCAGTGTTGGCCATTAAAACTTTTCCTTGGGACCACTAAGTTGCCTGGGAGCTGATATGTGTACTCTACGTTACATATGCAAACTCGTGACAACCGTTCTGGTTTGCAGAGGTAAGACAACTTTCAACTTACGGCAGCTGCCCGCTGTGCAGGAGATAACCAGGGAACTGGTTAAAAAACATAGAGTTTCAATCTTGTGAGAGATTGCCTCATCTTTGTATTTGCATTTGTTCTGCATCAGAATAAAACCCAATATTTTAAATATTTTGAATCAGAGTGAAATTCTTAAATATATTTTTGAGTATTTTCTTGTTTGTTTTCTGTCTAGGTTTTTAAACATTTAAATTAATATTATTGTTTCCTTTTTTTAGAATACGGAAGTATTATATGACATGGTTTGTCATTAAAACAGATTATTTTAAAATAATTTAGAACAGCTGCTTTCTAGCGATTGAGTCATCTCATTTTCTAGATTAGAATCTCTTGTTTGTTTTGTAATGAAATGGTTTGACACTTGGAACAAGAAATTAAGATAAATACTCAGCATACCAACTAGAAGAGCAGGTGGTTTTTTCAGCATCCTTCTTATTCTAGGAAAGCGCAGTATTTCTTCTCCAGACATGTTTCTGTGCATTTATAAATTATTCCAGGGTTGGAAATTTCCATTTTCTTCTTGAAAATTTTTCGGTGTCTGATTCCCTGAAATTTCACTTCCTTCAAAATTTTAGTTTAAATCAATTAAGGAGAAGAGGATCAGCTTCTCAGTGTCTTACATGAAAACCAACATGTAAGTGAAACACTACAGCACCTTTTCTTTCTGGAGGAGAAGTCCCCTGACACAGGGACACGCATACACACAGACACATACAGGGTAGCATGTTTCAGATACTCCAGTGAGGATATTCCAAGAATTTCAGTAAATGGAGATGATCCTGGCTAGGAGAAATGCTGCTTGGGGAGCCTATGGCTTGAACAGTATGGATGTGTGCCAGGCCAGCGGGGAGCAGCCAGGCCATGCTCTGGGAGACTCCGCTGGCAAGAGCAGCTCTAATTGTAGCTGAAGGTGCAGCTGCTTTAGTTATACTGGGAGGCCCATAGAGGAACAGGCTGAGACAGAGCTCTCAGATGTTAATCCACACTTGGGGTAGCACTAATATCTAAGAAACAGCAGATATCTTACTTGGAAGGGAAAATGATTCTTTTTTTTCTCAGCTGGAAGAGAATTTGCCTCCTTTTCTGAATAGAGGGCTCTGTTTTCAGGGCTACTTCAGCTGTTTCACCTGTGTTTTTGCTGCTTAACCATCAACACTCGGCAATTACAGAAATCCATAGAATCCCCCAACCACGAAAATGTTTGTGTAGAGGAGTTTAATAGCCCTCATTTTATAAATGGCACTCGGAGAACATCAGCTTAACGTGATCATGACAAAAGTCATCAGCAGAGGTGGGTACACAGCCCATAGGCTCTCCTGGCAGTGTCTGTATATACTTCCCTCACCACTTCAGTCGTACAGAGCTCTTCTTGCAGAAAGCAGAAAAGAGCTCAAGACTAACTCGGGTGACAGCAATAAGCTGGTAACTGGCTGTATCTGCTGACACCGTTTTGCTTACCAGTCCCTTAAATATTTCTGCTTATGGACTGAATGAAACTGGACCACCTGCACAATTTGGTACTATTGTCTTCCTATTCTCTGTGTTGCTTCCAGGTACTGTTTGTGTATTAAAGTTAGATGTTATGTTTTGGGGACAAGGGTTGCTTTCTTTGAATGTCTGCACATCACCTGGTTTAACAGGGTTCATACCTATTGGAACAGGGTCTGCTGCAGAAACAATAATCTCGTGCCTTGGCTATGCCACAAATCTCTTTTTACTATAGTTTATCCTAAAAAAAATTTTGGGAAATATTGAAGTCTGATTTGAGTGAGCAGTCTTTCTGAAAACTGACCCACACTAGAGTCTCAAATTGTGGATGTACTCTCTCTCAGGTACAGTTCTCTTCCTCCTCTTTTTTTTTTTTTTTTTTTTTTTTTTTTAAATCAGTGACACATCTTTTTTCTTGAAAGCTTTTCTAGCTCTATTTGCCTTAAGGGGATAGATTTTTTAATGAAGAAAAAAAACTCTTATTTTTTTTAAGTGATTTTAGAACTGGTGAAGGTAACTGTATACTTTTATTTATATGGACATCAAGGACAAGTGCATTTTCCACTTACATTTATGGCCTTCTGCACAGTGGTATTGAAAATAAATGCCACTGATTTTGCATAGGCTACTACCTGGGCATCCTGTGAGTGTGGTTTTCAGTGGCCCAGCAGTGGGAATTTCCCTTTTTCCCAAACTCCTTTTTTTGCTGATTCCCCTTTGGAATTTTATAGAATTGCTATTTCTCTAGCACTTGATTTGCAAATCATAGAATCCCAGAATCCCAGCATGGCAGGGGTTGGAAGAGCCCTCAGGAGATCATCCAGTCCAATCCCCCTGTTCAAGCAGGCTCACTCAGAGTAGGGTGCACAGGACATCGTCCAGGTGGGGGTTGAATATCTCCAGAGAAGGAGACTCCACAGCCCCCCTGGGCAGCCTGTTCCATGGCTCTGTCACCCTCAAAGTAAAGTAGTTCTTCCTCACGTTCAACTGGAACCTCTCCTGCTTCAGTTTGTGCCCATTGCCCCTTGTCCTGTTGCTGGACACCACTGTCTGGCTCCGTCCTCATGACTTGCACCCTTAAGATGTTTGTATGTGTTGATGAGATCCCCTCAAATAGAGCATATAGATTGCACCAGTTCATTCCTACCTAACAGATTAAATATATTTTTCATTCTGGATTTGGTTATGGCATTGACTGGGTCATGTCTCTTAATTTAAGGTCTTTGATGCTCGCTCTAACTCTGATGGTTTTTTTACGCAGATTACCCTGCCTTGAATTACCCTGATGCATTAAGAACTGTCAAAATATTGTCTCATGCCATGCTGCATTGCATGGTCCTCACACTACCTAAGGAAAAGGAGTGAGAGTGAAGATTTGTCCTCCCTGCATTTGATTTTTTTGTTTTAATGACTGTTGTGCTAAGATCTCTCTCTTTCTCAGGTTTCTGGCAAGTAATAAAAATATAAAACCAGGTTGTAATTCCTGGAAAAATTAGTAGGTTTTCAATGAAATCACCTGCAAGCTGTTTAATTATAACTCCTTTAATAGTTCTGCTTTTGTAATTTCTTGCTGCTCTGTGGGCCTGGGTGTAATTCACAGCCCTTCTCCGTTGTGCTGCCTTGTCTTGGGTATCAGCTCTGTCTAAATTCTTCTTCTCTGTCCAAGGAGGATTCACACACTCACACCCTTCTCTGGTGTCAGTAGCATCAACCTCTGCCTCTTAGTTATTCTGTTATTATTAAAGCCCCCATTTTTAAGCATTGTACATTTATTTTTAAGCAAAATGCAACATTTTCCTCCTGTCATAAAGCAAGTGACTTAAAAATTTTCAAAAGCTCTTTCAGCAAAGCTGTGAATTAGATTCTTGTGGAGTCCTTCATAAAAAATTGAAGACTTCCTGTATTAACATACATTGATTTATTCATAGTGTTTCATTACAAATAAGTGAGGATCCCATAATATCAGGAAAGGTTAGGAGAGCAGTGGCGCATGTTATATTATATTGACAGCTCAGTTGAAATTGAGCTGTCTTTGGATTGAATTTGGAACGCAGGGAAGGAATTGTCTGGTAAATAAGTCATGAGTTTTACTTGCAAGTATATCAACAGGGTTGCCATGGGTAAGCATAATGGAGCTCGAGCAGAATTTCAAAGGTGTGCTTTCAGCTTGGGTTCCTCTAAAGGTGTGTTAGCACCAGCAGTGGGTGTATTCATGAACAGCTCTCCAGGTCTGTAACCCTGCTGACTTATTCTCCCAGGCAAAAACCAGGCATGGTACCATGTGTAAACCTGCAAACTGAGGCTAAAAACAGGGGAAGGGAAATGATATCAGCAGCTGGCTTACGAGCTCAGAGAAGAGAAGAGCTTTTGTCTAAGACTTGATGATATTTATTTCATTTAAACATACCATTTCATTTCAACATTTCATTTCAGCATATTCTCCTTAGCACAGGAAAAGACTTCCAAAAGCTTTTTTATCTGTAAAAGGCTCCCGTTGTTTTCAGCAGCCTTTTGAGAAGACCATTTGCCAGAAGGAAAAAATACTCGATGGAAAATGTATCCATGTTTGTACCAAAAGTTTTCGTATGCTGTGGGGGATTGTGTGGGAAATTCTAATGAAAATTCTGCCAGTCGTGCTGTGCACTCTGGTTTGGCTGCAGAAGTTCTGTGACTTGGAACAAAAAGCAATTCTTTGCATCTTTTGTTGTAAATCAGCACATGCTGAGGTTATAGTGGAGAGAAGAAATTAGATTTTTTCCTAAGTAAAGCCTTGGAAAAATTGTCGTGTTTGTTTGCCAGCATCCAAACACAGAACTGCTGACTAGAGACAGTGAAATAATATCTGTCCTTGTATTTTCAATGTCTAGTCTCAAGAGATGGCAAAATAGGGGAGCAGAGAAACGCCAGGTGCAGAAGAGCCCTTATCACCTTACTTTCCTTGTTCTTCATTTGCAGATCACATACAAGGCCGTTGGGTCTCTGGATCCCAGTGCTGACCTGTCCAGCCAAAGAGGGAAAGTCTTCAAACTAAGGAATGAAACACATCACCTCTTTGTAGGATTATACCCAGGGACTACGTATTCATTCACCATCAAAGCCAGCACAGTCAAGGGCTTTGGGCCACCCATCACAACACGGATTGCAACTAAGATTTCAGGTACTGCTTTGGAGAAGAAGAAAAAAGAACTCTCTAGGGCTTTGTTTTTAGACCCACAGCTGATGCATAAAACAATAAAAAGGTATTCAGCTTAGTGTATCCTCTACAAGTTGCATAGGGCAAATTTTTAAAATGGCCACAATGCAGTGTCTGTGTTTGTTCAGGTTACAGAGGCAGTGCTTAATTTGTGGATATCTTAAATATCCATGAATGTCTTTGTGGCGCATTTTAAATGAGAACCTTCATTAGTTCTACAAATGAGCTATCCCTATAATAATTGTTAGTATTATCTGCGTGGCTGGGGGAAGCTCCTTAATAATGTGGCTTTTATTTTCAGATTGCATCAAAATGGCTGTAACGAAGTAATTGAATGAGCAGTGCAAGGAGACTAAAAATAAAGGAGGAAAGCTGTTAATTTTTTTTTTTTTTCTGAGTAAGGGCAGAGGGAGGGTTTGAGATAGGCAGAAAGGCACTAAAATCAGGAGGAATTGCAAAGAGAAGGGGCATGTGTCTCTAGGAAAAAAAAAAGGAAACTTAGGCTAGGTATCAGAAAAAAGATGGATAAAGGCGTGGTAGAGATGACATTGGGCAGACACATGTAGATTTTAATTTTAACATTTAATTGATGGCACTAAAATAGGTTCTCTAACACAGTTTAAAACTGTCTTTTTTTTTTTAATACCTTAACTGTTTCTTCAGTAAAGCCAAAACAAACATTTGTGGAGTTCAGGACACTTGTAATACTTGAAATTATGCCTGGATGCCATAGGAAAGGGTGCACAACAGTGCATATTTTCCATTGTCTTATTTCAAAATTGGTTAATAAAAATAAGTTGTTAGCAGTAAGTGACAGCGTAAATTTTAAGGAAGTAAAATGTATCTATTCCTTCCCCTAAGCGTCAGCAGGGCTTGAACCTTTAACACGTAGTGCAAAAGCCCGTGTCTCAACCACCTGAAGTAAAGCCATTAACTGTGGTAACAGCTCCACGGACTGTTAGGGTTTATGCAGCCCTGCTGTGAAGGGAAGGCATGGCATGCACTCTATTCACTTGTGATCAGAGAAATAAAATAGTACAGTAATGGCAGTGCTTTTTCCCTCTGATTGAGTTTCTTTGCATTTTATTATTCAGTCAGTGCTCAAATTGTGTTAGAAGCCCGCATGATTATTAACTGTATGCACACTGAGCTTGGTTTATCGTCTTTTTTTTTTTTTTTTTTTCCATCTTTCAAATCTTTCAAACATCTGCTTCACAGTAGGTAGGCACAGACTCCGTGCCTCCATGCAGGCATTAGGGTAGCCTCTGACATTAGATTATCTCATTGCATGGTCAGTCCTATACATGTAATTTGGAAATTACTGTTAAACTTGCTCTAAGAGGCAGTCCCAAGGTTAGCAGGAAGAAGAAGGATTTTTGCATTGTCTGGAATGTCCTTGTAAGACTATATGAATTTTAAAATGAAAAGACGTCTATACTGTAGCAATGTGTGAGAGTATATATTTATATGGGTGGGCACATTTGTTTATGTTTTAATCACAATTAAATGGCAGAATTCCTGGGGACTTCTCTTTGGGCAGGACTGGCATCTTGCAAAATAGGCATTAAATTGATGAGCGGTCCTTGCTATTTTAGAGACATCACTGCGAATTGTAGTTTTATTGAGGTACTAAACAACTCTTCTGTGTTGAGTATACCACAAAACTACTATCTTGGTGTCTTGTGACCAATACAGACTCTGATGGCTGACTTATATGCAATACCATAGCTAGTCCTGCCAAGACCTATGTTTCTTAACTATATGGTGTCTGAAAGTAAGATTGTAAATTTGCTGTGGCAGGTGCAGTGTTTTACACAGAAGATAACTAAACAGGTCTCATGCACAGCCAGAAGGAGACATCTGAGCTAGCTAACATATCAGAAGTAATTTAGTGGTACCAGTGCAGCACTGCAGGTAGGCTATAGGAAGCTGCTTCAAAGCAGGATGATGGAGCCTGCAAAGGTAAAGCCCAGCCCATTTCTGGTGTCCAAACTGGCCCTGAAACCTTTCTGCAGTGCTGCATGGTGCCGTAGCACCATTCCTTCTGACCAGAGCTGGTGCTGAACAATTCTTGCTGTGGCATCTCCAGCAACTACGGTGATCTCCAGTATAGAAGACCGCTGGTGACATGCATCTTCTTCAAATGACTCACACTGCTTCCCCTTGATGCAGAGCACCTTTTTCAGAGAAATCCTTGTAAGAAATTGGCATTCATTCTGAACTAATTGCCAGCTTATTGACAGGGAAGTCAGTAGCTGAGCTGATAATAGCAACCACCATTCTTGACAGCTTTCAGGCATGTAGATAAAAATCCTGACTGTAAACAGGTTTTACAGAGGAAGTCACTTTGAGAGGATTAAATATGGGACCCCCCACAATGCAGCTTGCCCTTGTGAGTTACAGATGAACTATTTGTGTGAATTCTTCCATTTGCTTTAAAGATATTTCAACAGAACTTTCATCTTTGGAATGGATTTGATGCTGCTCTGATCCCATGATTCCTTCAATTCTTTCACAGTAAAAATTGTCCCAAACAGATGTCTGCTACTGGGGAAGGAAGGAGTAATGTAATAAGTAAAATGTTTCCTAAGGAAAGCTATTCTACTTTCATGACATGATCCTAATAGAATACAACAAAGCAGAAGTAGAAACTAGGCTTTCGCTAAGTGTGAATAATCAGTGGTTTTCTATATTGCTTTGGGGAACACTCCAGTGAAGCGATGGGGCTACCATGGCTGGGTATTTCCTGAGCACACCATTGGAAGCCGTGCAGCTGCCTGTTGATTCAACATCACTAAAGCACTGGGGTAAAATGTCATGGGTTTGAGTGCTAAAATAACCTGGCTAATTTGTGCTCATCTCTTTTCATCTTTCATGCTTCATCACACACCCTCCAACAAGGAGAAATAGCTCAAGTCTGTGTGTTAAAAACTCTATCTAAGATGTGGGAGGTCTAATCCAATGACCAGAAAAGTGAGCAAGAGACAGATTTCCCGGGATCTATTCTTAGCTCTGCCACTGATTCACTCCTCCTAAGTGGTCTTTTATAATGTCCATGCAGTTTTCTTTCTTCACCTTTAAAATTGAAGGAATGATCCCATCTCAAAGGATTACTAAGTCTTCAAAATTCGAGACAGGATTTTCAAAGCCAGCTTGAAGATTTGGGTGTCCGATTCCTGTTTAATTTTGATAGGAAAAGATTGTACAAATATTTAAGCAGTTTTGACAATTTTGGTCATAACATTGGGAAGTATTTTGATGTTTCATTTGAGAAATGTTAAACGGTCTCCAAGAAATGTTAATATTATGTTGCCATCACTACCAAAGACAGTAACTGGTGTATAACTAACACATTGCTCTTTGTTCTGCTGTAGCACCGTCGATGCCAGAATACGACACGGACTCCCCCCTGAATGAGACTGACACTACCATCACCGTTATGCTGAAGCCCGCTCAGTCCCGGGGAGCACCTGTCAGGTAGGTGTTTTGTCTTCTCTTTTCACAGTTCTCCCCTCTCCTTCCTCCCCAGGCTTCACTCACGCCTCTCTCATTCTCGTCTGATGATGTAGCTGCTGAAAGCGAGCACTGACTAAAAGGCCAACTCTGCTGTTGATTCTGCTTTTCACAGTCTCCTTTTATAAATGCCCCAACCTACTTGTCTCCCGCTGTCAACCTCCGGGAAGGATTACTGATAGCATTGCACGGGGTTATTACCCTTTCAGCATCACTTCAGATGCCTTTGCAGCACTGGAGTTTCAGTACATGGAGCAGTGTGCTGCAGCGCTGTGAATCGAGCATCTCCATGCAAAGGAGGAGGAGGCTTCAGGCCTCCGTCTCCTGCCCCCTCTTCTGTGCAGGACAAGGCCTTTTTGTGACTACCATATGAATGCCCGAACTATCTAATGCTTGTGGATGCATTTGTTCAGATTCTGGATCTAACCACACTCCTAACATCTTCATGTTATAGTCCAGCTATTGCTCCTGGGCTAGCTGTGAAGTAGTGTTCCAGTTCAGAAAAGACGAATTCTGGCTTAGCGAGGCTTTGCCAGTTGTAGGCAAGCGCAATTTGGCACCACTGGCAGAGGAGAGGATTTAGAGACAGGGAGCTGCACGGGCACATGTGGAATGGAGTGAGGAGCTTGCAGAAAACATTTCTGGCTGTCCCTGAGCTGGGTCCTGTTCTTAATGAGATGCTGAAATCATAGAATCTTAGAATCACTTAGGTTGGAAAAGACCTTTAAGACCATTGAGTCCAACCAAAAATCTAACATTGCCAATGTTAATAAGTCCTACTTACCCATGTCCCTAAGTGCCACTCGACTGTAGATCGCTCCCTGACCGTGGAAACACGACTTAGAGAGGTCTGTACTGCATGGCTGTCTTCTGTCTAGGTGAATTTGTACTTGGTGAAAGGCACCAGCACAGACAAATTGCCCATCTGAGCTGGCACTGCTTTATCTGTCACTGGCAGAAGTACCAGCTGGTCATTCATCCTGCCAGTCTTCTCAGCCGAGATCAGGAATTAGAATCTCTTATGATAAAAATACTGGATACTGCTTTGCAGATGTATCCAGCTGCCATGAGACTCTACAGGCTTTTGCCTTCAATTTTCACAAGAGGTTTTTGAAAGTTTTCCTATGGGTGGTATTTTAAAAACCCATAGTCCCTTCTTTCAAAAGTGAATTGGGTTTCTATACCCCTTTGCTCAGATGTATACTACTTGTTATAATGAAATATCCTGTATAAGTTGGTTGTCCACCTTATGTCACAGCTTTCCCCAAATTGCATTGATACTCTCAAGCAAAAAATCTGCTCTTTAAGACTTAGCAGCATCCCTGGTCTAGTTTTTCTGAGTAATGTATTTTAAAGTTTCCCTTTCAATCTCTGGTATTCCATGTGAGCGAATTTAGGAGCCTATTTTCTGAGTCCTTTAGGGATGTTCTTCTGCTGGGAAAGAGCAGTAAAATCACACAGCTCTGTTTTGTTTTATTTCTTTATATGGGGGAACATTCCTGTATCTCGTTTTACCACCTGCTGTCTTAAGAGTGTTGCTATTTTGTCTTTTTATTGAAAAGTCTTGTGATTTTTCTTGAAGTCAATTTACTATACTTTAACTGCATTCAGTGAATAATGTCTTTTCCAGCAAATGTGTCTGTTATAAAAAGATCAGTAGAGATTTTTATAAATTTTCATTCTGGTTTCTTTAATTGCATTATAGTCTATTATACACACATTTGCAGAGAGTGCAATATTTACACGCCACATCTAAGTGGTAAGATTACTTCCTATTATGAGCCCATTTCATTGACTTAGAGACATGTGTATGAAAACAAGAATGGATGGCAGGGGGAGGAGGGGTCCTGGGGAGAATTTTAGCTTTTTATTAACTATAACAGCTTCAGAATGTGTGAATACCTTTCTCTGTATAACCATATAGACTGTTCTTAGTCTAGCCTCAACGAAGCCAATTATTTCAACCTTAGATTTCCCCAACCTCTTCCCTTTTCTTTCAGTCTGTTCTGCACACTCCAATTCATGTAAATTCTCTCAAAATACCATATCCAAAAGCAGGTAGCACTCCCTTGGAGGCCTCAACAGCACCCAGCAGATTAGAAGAATAACATACTGTGAACTGCTTGTGACACTCAACACATAAGAATGAGGTGTTTTTTCCTCCTCAGTGTTTTTTTCATATTCAAGCTGAGAGCCAATACATCCTCTTTGTTGTTGCCTGGTTAGTTGTTCTACCTTTTGTGTGTGTGTATTTTATTTCTCCTTCATGAGTGTTGTATTTGCCATTCATCTCTATTAAATATGATAAAAATTATTTTCAAAATGCTTTAAAATTCTGGTACAAACTTAAATGACTTACGGCCCCTCTTAGTCTGATGCCATCCTCTGTTCAGTTATCCAAGGCATTAGTGAAAACACAGATTTGAGACAAATGACTGTGAGAAATCTCCATGCACAGCAGCGAGCTGGTACGGAGGTCGCTGGAGGGGATCCTGCATGATGCAGCATGCTGGTAGGATGCCTGTTCTCCTGGCCTCCCTCGTAGATGTGACCATGCTTTCCTAGACCCCTTCCCGTTTGCACACTGACCTTTCGTATCCCAGCCTGCTTGAGATGATTCTGAAAAGGTACTTGAAAGTAGTCTGAAATAGATTTTCCTCACACCTTCTTATAAAGCCTCTGATAGTCAGATCTTTCACTGTGCAGGAATAGGTCGACCCCTCATTTCATCAACCTGACAGTTCTCCAGGCAGCCAGTTTCTGCTCTGCAGTGCCCCAGGTTTTTATTATAGTCCTCCCAAACTGTGAACATGAAAAAAAAATGACTATACAGTAATTATTCTTAATATTTCCTTTTATTGCTGGGGATGGTGAGTTGGAGTACGTGTGGGGGTGTATCTGTAAACTAGTATCTATACATAAGATATGTGACTTTGCTTGTGTTATTTCTTTCTGCTGTAGGCTGAGCAGCATACAGATGGAGTATGGTCTGCAAGATCATTTTTAGAGTAATATTGTAGAATATTTCAAATAAGATTCATTGTATCTCCATTCATGTGAAATACAAGTACACCAAATCCAAAGTCACTTTCAACATTAAGACATTTCTGATGTTTCCCAGTGCTCATGATAAATAACTTAAATGAAGTTGTTTATAAAACTAATGATCATGAACTCAGAATTGTTAATGATCTATAGATAACAATGAAGACACTTTCACATGAACTAATAGAAATAATACGAACTTAGATATTTTTTCATCTATTTTGTCCTATTGCCAAGAGAAAGGTGAAGCATCAGCAGGCATAAATATTCTCCCTTGTGGCAGAAGCATTCCATTCTTGCCTTTATTTTCCATGGTATAACCTGCAGAGCTTGACTCCACATTGCCCTTTAAAAATAACTTTTAGGTGTTCTTATATCACTCTAAAGTCCGTGAATGGTGCTATGATTGATTTGCTGAAGACTGACATTCATCTATAATAGATTCAGAAGAGGAAAGAAGAATGCAAGTGTTCCAAATCTTTACTCCTCAACTCTTTCCTGAAAATCTCCAATGTGATTTTGAGGATAATTCTGCCTTTGAATCTGTTATTGTCAGGAGGGCTGAGTCAGTCCTTCATAGATTATTCACATATGACATCTTTAGTCCTCTATTTGAGAATTTATATCCCATTCACTGCTTGAAAATACCACTGTGAGGGATTTTATCTACATGACATGTCCACTGGGCTGTTTTTTGTCTTGGATATTTGAAAGTCCATCTGGTTTATTAACATGCAGTTGGTTCTATCAATCTACCTATACCACTGTTACGCAGAAAGTCAAATTTCCAGAGCATGTATTAGTTTTGAGGATTTCAGAGTTTATTTATGTTCCCCTTAGGTGCGATTGCCTTGTCGATATGCTGCTCTACGTATTGCAGCTGTAGGACATGTAGAAGGACATTAGAGAAGAGTCTGCAATTATTTTTTGAGGTTTCAGACAATGGAGAACTTTTTTGTCCAAAAAAAGATGGATTTAATCTCCCTATCTTCCTGCAGCTCTCTGAGGTGTATCAGTAAATAATAGGTGATGTTGTGTTGTGTGTCTGCCAGCATGCAGGTACAGGACAGTCTTTAGGCACCTGACCCCTGTACTGTGCTGAAGAACAGTATTATTAGAAGAAAGTATTCAATCTTCGCACTTGCCTTTATGCACATATATATATATATATTTGCAGGGAGAATATATATGTGTAATATGTATATGCATGCAGTGTAAGTAGCATGTGTATTATCTATTGTGTATGTGATACTTGTAATCAATTTGATGGTGAGGAAGGATAGGTTAGTTTATTAATGTACATCTTAAAGGAAATAAGTAAATTTAAATAGGAGAATGGGAGTTTAAATATTTGTAGTACATTTAGAAGCACTGAGCAAAGGTGAAAAAAATATTTTCATATCAACAGCCAGCCAGTAGGAGATATTCACTTATATGGACCAACCCCCATGCTACTCTTGAGTATTATCATCTGATTCTTGGTCTCCCAAGCACAAAATAAAGGAAATATTTTTGGTCTACATGATGCTAAACAAATTAGGAGAAAACAGTTGTAGTGTCATTTAACAGAACACCTAGGAACAGTGTTTTTTTCTGGTTTTATGCTCAAGCTATTCTCCAAGCGAACAGTCCCGTATGATGTATCTTTGTACTTATATATTTCTACATCCAGTAGCAAGTGAAATTTCCTGTGATGAAGGGGGGTGGCATTGCTTCCATTTTATGTTGGAGAACTGAGGCTTTGACTGGACAAAAGTTGACAATTTCTGAAGCAATAGGCTATAATTTTAATCTCCATCTAATTCTTTCTTTTCTTGTGATTTCAGTCATCATCTGTTCATCCTGAGCTTACCTTTCCTATATCCCTCTGACTAGCATCCTTATTTTGATTTTGAACACACCGTAGTTCTTTCTGTCCT